TCGTTCATAGAATTTCATTACATAAAACTAGATGACTAAATACCTAATGATCTTCATATCTTATAAGAACCTTTACAATTATAATAGTTTACTTTTTAAGCGATAAAAACAGTCGACAGTCGTGCAGGCATAAAATTGGTTCAGAATGTTGTAAAAATAATCAAATGACTAAATCAAGGGTACATCTGACGTAGAAATTATACATATAGGAAACTACCTACCTAGGATAAACACTAAACGATATCATAAAAATGGTTGGAAAATTGATTCCAATATTATGATATAAAATTGAAAACAGTAACTAGTTTCAATATGCCAAGAAATGGATAGTTAAACGATAATCAGAACAGAGAGTATGAGTAGAGAAAAGAACAGAGCTAGCAAAAGTGGCATGCAAACATTGACACTAGAGTTGAGTAAATATAATATATAAACACACACCCAACAGTCGACCAGTGACRGTAAAAAACAAGATTGAACGTCGGTCGTCGTCAAAGACGCGCGCAAAACGATCCAGTGGGTTCATTTGTGTTCGTTTTGAGCGGGCTAAACGATAGGCGGGGTAACCGTCGATGATGGGGAGGGGGATTGAGTGGTTACCGGCGCCAACCCGCGGCGCGTCAACCACTAAACATTGCGGCCAGTACTTAGGTACGCGCGACCGTTTTTCTTGTTAACGTTTCTCAAGAGTTAATGCGAAACAATTGCAACGGCGTTGGCACGCCGTCGCGTCTTACCTGTAAACCTGCCCTGGCGGACCTGGACACAGCTTTGGCCTTTGATTTACCGGAGTCTTTACCCGCTTTACCACCGGCCTAGAGTGTGACAAGACAAAACAGAAAAAAAAAAATGTTATTAAAATATGAACACGATTCTCGAGACACGCTCGGACGTCTCGGCGGGAATTATCGATTGGGGAAAACCGACGGCAGAAATGCGCGCCAGACGGCGGCGTGCGTTTTTTGGCGCGGTAAAAAAAAACCGTAGCCGTCGGGCGGCGCGTCCACCGTGGGTCCGCGAAAATCCCGCAAACGTCCGTTGTGGGGGCATATTGTACGTACCATTTTCTCTGAGGCGGTGGAGCTCTGTTGTTACAACGGGACGGCGGTGAACGAAACTGTGACGTACCGTAGTCGTTGTGCGGCACAAATGACGCGGTTCGGTACGAGTTGTCGACGACGGTGTGCGCGTACGTACGATATGTATATGTTTTCGGCGAGTCGGGCGTGCGGATGGCAGGCGAAAAAA